TATTTACCGCCGCCAGTGGATAGTTTTCAAATCCAGGTAAAGGCTCACTGTGAAACTTTTTTTTTTATGAAGGCTAACAAGAATGCCGGCGACCCTCGAAAATTTGGTTTGATACAGGCTTTGTCCTTCAAAGTATTTTTGTGTCACCGTTCATATCTATCTCAGTCTCTTTCTTTCTTTCTTTCTTTCTTTCTTTCTTTCTTTCTATCTGAATCTGTCCATATCTATCTATCTATCTGGCTGGTACTATATGTCAAATACGTCCATTTTTGTGTCTTATTTATTAACTAAGATCAGTATTTAAGTGAATGACAACGGAAATATTTTATATTTTTGTCGAACATTTTTAATACCAAATAAATACACATCGAAGCTGCTACACTAGGTTACCTAAGAGGCGGTGTGGATGACGTTTATTTTCTTTGTGGGAATCGGGGTAGGCAATAATTGATCTTATGTACCTGTTTATTAATTTCACAATGTTGACGTTTTAAATGATTTTCCGGCCTCTTTTCTTCAAATACCCTCGCATTTATTTTATATTTATAAAAAAAATTACGATTATTAAACCCCAACGGCATAGTTAACCCCAATATGGTACAAATAGTTATTGACGTGTGCTTCAAAACTGAACAGATATCTTTCACAGTATATGGAATAAACGTTGACATATCTTTTAAGCCTGTGACTGAGAACGAAACAGATTTTCTTTTAGTTTTATAGTTGTTAGCTAGTAAGATTTGAAATATAAGCGAAACCTCGGCTGGCGTTCTGTTTTGGCTGATAAGATAAACAAAATACCTGCGAAAAAATTCACCTGTTGTAAAGAAATCATTCTTTAAACTATTTTAATAAAGCTTATATATACTTTTTTGTGTTCAGTACGAAAACTTGTAAGTTGAATATAAAATATTTAAAAAACTGAAAAGAGAAACATTTTTCAGTTTCATCTTCTCACTGGAGCCAATAATGGGTGTTCGATCCCTGGCGAAAATGACATTATTTCAAAATATTCATTTGCTAGGCTAACCAAGTGAATGATTAGTGTGCTTCGAACTAATTTGGTGCATGTAGATTTGTTCTAAAAGTAAATTTAGTAAACACTCTAATACCATATTCCCAACGTGGGGCGCATGATCCACGGGTGGGGCACGGTAATATTTTAGTGGGGCATGCGTAGAATGTGCACCCTTCTGTTTACTATACCAACAGAAAAAGGGGGCAATTCGAGAATCAGTTATTAAAAGTGAATTGTTTTCTAGTGAGTCTGAGTGAGAGTTAATATTAATGCGTGTTAATACATACTTTACATATACGGTATGCATACATCAAAATATTTTGTGTGTATATATATACATGTGTAATTGGCATACATGTAAGAATTAAATATTACAGGGAGGAGGAAGCAGAATTTTAGAAATACCAAAGTGGGGCATGGCCCCAAATCAGTTGGGAACCACAGTTCTAATAGTTTTGTTTATGACTAAAATAGTTGTTTATCGCCACCACCGCACACAAAAGGTGGGTATTCAAGTAAAAATCAGAATGTCGAATGATAATTTGATATTTAGGCAGGCTATCACTTCTTTGAAGATTGTCTAACGCCAATCTTTCTCCTCACTATTTCCCGCAGTTGTTCTTGTGTAACACTAAGGTTAATTAATATCGACAATCTAATAAAATATCAATAAATCCACATTTAAAATTTCCTGACAATTGTCTTCGTTCTTTTTGCGTATTAGAATGTTAAAATTAGCTGACAGGCATGTTTATATACTTGTAAAACGCAGGGTTTTGTGGCTCGTCTATTAGTAATCGTGGTAGTTTAGAAGCTGGAAGATATCCGGAAAAAACTGCAGCTAGTTATGTGAATGATATCAGGACTAAGCTTAATTTAACAGAGAACCATAATATCGCGACACCCGGTGAGTATTGACTTCACTATAAAAGCAAATGTCTGAGACTAGCTTATTAAACATAGCTGTACTATGAGCGGATTAATACTTTCACATCCTAACATAAAATGACCATATTGGGGTGCCTAGTAAGGGTTGAACTTGCGGATTTAACACTGGTATATGAGATAATTTTGATGAGCATCACTTCACGACAAGATCGCTAGATATCTGCTTAGTTCCGTCTGACCTAAGGTCACAACAATAGATCATCTCGTGTGAGATAATTTATTACACGAGCTCAAGGAGATTGGTTAGTCAGTCTTTCGTCGATACTTTAGTATTTTATGCGAGTTCTGACGGAACACTAGCCATTGGATTGTTGATGGTGGAAATGATGGAACAATCTCAATACCAAGCACTCTCAACGCCCCACCTTATATATATATATATATATATATATATATATATATATATATATATATATATATATATATATATATAGTTTGCCAGCTGTCAATAAACCTCATAACACTCACGAGCGCTTAGCCTTAAAGTGGGTAGAATGGAGATCAACGTGTTTTAGTAGACTCAGCAGTTTTCAATCTGCTATTCTGAATCGTCTTCAATAAGCGAGAGCAAGGTCTAAAAGGTCGGCAAATCTAACAGTGAGCTCATCCCACAATCCTTACACTTGCTTCATATGCGGCCTCCTTTGTAAAACCACTAGCGGGTCTTAATCAATTAGTTAAGTTGTGCATGCGTGCGTATGTGTGTGCGTATGTGCATTAGCATATATATATATATATATATATATATATATATATATATATATATATATATATATATATATATATGTAAACTTTGAACAATTTCTATTGGAATGTCCTCCTCATCTGAGAAGGATTATTCGTAATATGGAAAAATGAATCAATAAAATTAATCGACACAAAATATTGTCGTTAATATATATATATATATATATATATATATATATATATATATATATATATATACTACTGACTCTCTCCGTCGAATTCGACGTATGAGGGTCAAGCAGATCTGTTCCCAGGAAACCGACAGCCCGACAACAGCACATGAGATTTGATTATAGTGGTGAAGGTTTCGTGCAGGACCATCCACACTTTTTGAAGGGCCGATTACAGAGATCTGGTACACTACGTACCACAAGGTCCCCAAACGACCTTTCGCAGATTTTGATATATATATATATATATATATATATATATATATATATATATATATATATATGTGTGTTTGAATAAAAAACAGACCACTTTAAGGTTCCATGTAATAAGTTATTTCCCCACAACCCTTTTAAAAGGCTCTGGATCATCAGACTTTACTTCCAAAAGTTAAAATGAAAAGAAACTTAGACATTTTTGACAGACCGCACCAAGCATATGTAAAATTAATGAAGTGAGGAAGTGAGGTGGGAGAGAAGATATGAGTGAGTTAGATTTACCATTTCAATTCCTTATCCTTAACCCCACTCTGTGTAGGCTAGATGCCCTTTAACTTAACGTATGTTATCTCTAGATATAGATGGATAAGGGGTGTGGGAGAAGACCGACTTAAAAGGGAGAAGATACAGCAAACAATAAAATAATAAATCATGTGCATGAGCGCAGGTTTCACTCAAATTCTTAGACGCTGTTATTTCGCATTACTTTAAAGGGTATATTTGGGGGTTAAAGTTTGTTTTTAAATACCTACCTAATTATTATCAAAGGTTTTCTAATTTAAATAATTTTATCATCAATAATGATTATTAATTAATATTACTTAATTTTATCATCAATTAATGATATATATATATATATATATATATATATATATATATATATATATATATATATAATTGAAATATGTAACTTCTGAAAAAATTTGGACAGGTATGCAACAATGACAGCAAAAACTGTTTTTGTAATAGTTTGTTACGCCATGTCTCTTCAGCTTACAGGCAGTCATGGTCCGCAAAAATGTCTTTTCTTTATTATCTGTGAATTGAAACAAATTTATTGCTTTTTTTGTTGTCACCTCCAGGGCTTTTGGGGCTTATCTTTCTCCTAGACTGACTGCCACTAGACAGTCCATTTAAACCTGTTACTTAATCCATAGATAGGTGGGAAAAATGGATTCATGCCTTTCTCAAGGTACAACAGCATCGACGGAACATTTAAGCAACGAGAAAGTTTTAAGGAAAATGGGCTTAGTACCAGAAAGAGACAATTGAAAATTCTGGGACTCATCATGAGGAAAGAGGACTTCGAGAATTTGACACGCATTGGGTGTACCGAAGTCAAAAGTGGGCCATCTGCATGACGAGCTTGTTTTATTGGATGACAGAACGGAGGATTTGGGAGATGACAAAGTGACAAACGTTGCTAAAAGTAGCAATGGGTAAGAATTTGTGGAGAGCCATGATCGTCAATGAGAGAGACGGGTTATTTTATTAATCACAAGTTTCTGTGGATGGAAGTCTCCGAAATGTTTATACGTATCAATATCCTTGAATACTTAAAATCCTACTTGGTGGCATGTAAGAACGTTTTCTTCCTCTTATATGCGAAGTTCATTTTTATAGTATTGTTCACCCGATACAAAGCCCAAGAGCCATTCAAGATAGAGCGTTACTGAATAAGGTTGTGTAAAGGGCGTAAAAGGAGCAAGTAAGTATGATGATATGTAGGATAGATAATGGATGAATCTAGATTTGAAAAAAGTTAATTATTAGGGAAACATAGAGTTCAATATGAAAAAAGAAACACCGACTGGCCTTCCTGGAAGTAAAAATATTTTTATTGATTGATTTGTTTTTATAGCTTATCAACCTTTTTGGGTTATTTAAAGCCAGAAAATATTTTTAGAGTGCTAGTATTTTTTGTAGCTAATAATAATTTTACTGATTCGAGTTCTAATAATTAACCTATAGTTTTTTTTTTTTTGGAGGGTGGGTGAGATGGATTCACGCCTTTTCCAAGAGTATTTGCATGTAAGTGAACAAACCCGACTTGAATTGGAATTCGGTTCTCCGATTTCCATTTCCGAGCCGTTATCCATTACACCACCCGCACATCCAAGCATACACCACCTATTAATCACAAGAAGTCACCCACCTAGATACTGACCAGGCTCAACGTTGCTTAACTTCGGTGATCATACGAGAACCTGTATTTTAACGTGCTCTATCCGAAAGCCAAAATATTTTGAACAGAGTATGTACCCATGAGGTAGTATGCTGTATACTAACATTCATTGAAACAATGCGGATTATGTGGATATATAGAATAGATAATGTCATGGTTCAATTTTTATCTCTCAAACTTATTCTTATGATCTGCATTTACTTCCTCCTTTTATTCCTATATCTCACAAACGATTAAGTATTCCTCTACCTTGTGTGGTTCTTGGGCCTTGTATTAGGTGAATATTTAGCATTACAAACATTACATTCACTTCTATATAGAAAGAGTTATATTACATAGTAGTTCAGAACTCTTTTCTTTGCTTTTCATTAAATGTTCCTGTCTCTTAGTACTTTACTTAGCTTTTGAAAGGCATATTTTGCTATTCCAATGCGCGTTCAGATTTCGATGTCATATTTTCCATGTCCTATTAAAACACTTACTAGATATTTAAACCTCCGTTTTTGTTTGATATTGACATCTTCAGTTCTTAGTTCGCATCCTGAGCTGTTTCTGTTGTTGCCAATCAACTCGGCTCAAATCTGAATCTGTTAAATTAAGAATCAAAGTCATCAGGCCATCCCCTATAATAGATAATTCCTTTATAATTGCATCTTTATCCTCATAATCTCCACTACCTCCTACATTTTCTTCTATTCATATCACACACCTGATGAAGTAACCCCTACCTTGAAGGGCTCTTGTGCCTTGTATTGGGTGATCGATAGGACACACGCTAAAGCGGCACCGTGAAATTACTTATCGTCACTGTTGTGCACACATGAAGTAATCATTCACAAAGATACACAAATCGTGCCTGCCATTATATAAAAATATACGTTCGCTCCTTGACGCTATTGGGTGAATTTTAGCATAAAAATATGAACAACAATAATAATAAAATACACGGCTACTATAATGGGAAAAAAGCAGAAAAAGTTGAATCGTGCTAATATTCTCAGTGGATAGGATCTATTGGATTTGCTTAGAAAAATAAGCATTTAAAATTCTGATTCCTACCATGTATTGAACACTGGTCACTGGCATCAGTGAGATACGTGAAATTACCTAAACTTCTAGGCAGGCCATTTATTTAATAACCATTTTAAAATAAGCTCGATCACCTGCCTCTGGCACCAATGGGAAATATGAAACTATCCCAGCCACAAAGCAGGATCTTAGTCTATAGCGACGAGAAGCGAACTTATATTTTTATATAATATCAGGCACAATTTGTGTGTCTGTGTGAATGACTTTTTCATGTGAACACAACAGTAATGATACGTATATTTTACTGTGCTGCTTTAGCGTGTGTCCTACTAATCAGTGTATATCTACCATCATATTTAAGGGGAAAAGCAGAAACGGAAGGAGTGATGGCATTTATTGGTTGTATTATAAAATTTAAAATAAAAAAAAATTGACTAAAAAAAGTCATCAAACAAGATATTTGAATCGTTTAAATAAAAACATTGTGAATGTCTCTTAACATATCGAGAAAAATGTCGAGACAATGTCTTAATAATGTAGGATACAGATGTGTTGGTAGGATAGACACTAAAACAGAAACAGTTCGGTAGGAAACACGCTAAAGCGGCACCTATTTTACAAATCTGTTGTTAACAAGATAGGTTTATTTTTTACAACTTCCGTTTCGCAGACATATATTATCTCTCTTTCACATTACATACAGTAATACAGTATTATATTATATGCAGTAACGTCCAATATTATATACTGTATTATATTATATACAGTAACATCCAATATTATATACAGTATTATATTATATACAGTAACATCCAATATTATATACTGTATTATATTATATACAGTAACGTCCAATATTATATACAGTATTATATTATATGCAGTAACGTCCAATATTATATACTGTATTATATTATATACAGTATCATCCAATATTATATACAGTATTATATTATATACAGTAACATCCAATATTATATACTGTATTATATTATATACAGTAACGTCCAATATTATATACAGTATTATATTATATGCAGTAACATCCAATATTATATACTGTATTATATTATATACAGTAACGTCCAATATTATATACAGTATTATATTATATGCAGTAACGTCCAATATTATATACTGTATTATATTATATACAGTATCATCCAATATTATATACAGTATTATATTATATACAGTAACGTCCAATATTATATACAGTATTATATTATATGCAGTAACATCAATATATTATATACTGTATTATATTATATACAGTAACGTCCAATATTATATACAGTATTATATTATATGCAGTAACGTCCAATATTATATACTGTATTATATTATATACAGTATCATCCAATATTATATACAGTATTATATTATATGCAGTAACATCCAATATTATATACTGTATTATATTATATACAGTAACGTCCAATATTATATACAGTATTATATTATATGCAGTAACGTCCAATATTATATACTGTATTATATTATATACAGTATCATCCAATATTATATACAGTATTATATTATATACAGTAACGTCCAATATTATATACAGTATTATATTATATGCAGTAACATCCAATATTATATACTGTATTATATTATATACAGTAACGTCCAATATTATATACAGTATTATATTATATGCAGTAACGTCAATATTATATACTGTATTATATTATATACAGTATCATCCAATATTATATACAGTATTATATTATATACAGTAACATCCAATATTATATACTGTATTATATTATATACAGTAACGTCTAATATTAGAGAACGTAAACTTAAAAATCAGTGTTGGTTCTAGAGTTTATTTTTTATTTTTTGTTCTAAAAAAAAAACAAAAGAAAAAAAAAACAGATTTGCCATAATGCAATTTTATTTTTAACACGATCACTTTTAATCAATTCTATATCTACTTGCCTATGTCCCTGATCAATGTCTCTAGCCATTATCTCTGCCATTGCTCCTTCCATTAATGAGTTTCCTTTAAAACAATTTTGCTGATATTTATGTTTTAAGTCGCCGTGTTATAGCCGGTATCATACATTCAATTTTAATCATTTCACCCCAAGCAAGCTGATAATGCCACTAAGACGCACGGATTACTGAGAGTGAAAGAGAATGAGAATAGTTTTGAGAGAGAACAATAAAAGAATATAGCTCAGGGAGACAGAAAATGGCGTCATCGTTTCGATGTATAAACTTTATTTTATGCATCCTGATATAATCAAACCCTCTGCCTTGAGCAGAGAGGGACCCGGATGAGGCTTTGCCAAAGGGAGGTAGACAGACCCGAATCCGCTCGGAGAACCCGCGGTAAACTCGGCCTTGTGCCACATACATCCCTCGTGGTGGTGGTGGTGTGGGGGGGCTGTTGAATATTAACTTTTGTTGGTTCTCTGTCAAATGCAAGTTCTACCTGATTTTTATACCGACTTAATAACTTTAAATGCTATTAGACATTGATTTGAATTAATATTCATCTACTTGCTGATATAGTCGTTCCAATTTTGGTTAAGGATACTAAATTTGACTTTTTAAAAAATCATTTGACACCAAGCAGGCGATAATGTCACTAAGACAAAAGAAGTTACTGAGAATGAAAGAAAATGATAAGATATTAGTGAGGAGAAAGGACAATGAAAGAAACATGGCAATTGGCATTACATTTAAAATTTTGAAGATCGTAGGTGTTAGGAAAGCAAGAAACCAAAAGAGATTTTTACAGGCGAGAAATACAAGTAAAGGAACTATTAGAATAGAATTTACGACTTTACGTTTTAATCCTATAGATCAGGGGTCACCAAACTACGGCCCGTGGGCCGGATCTAGCTCCCGGCGTCATTTCATCCGGCCCGCCACTTCACTGTGCCACAAATGAGCTAAAACATAATTATTTATATGGAATTATCAATACATTGTAGTTAAAAATACTATTTTGAAAATAAAAATTAAAATAAATCTAAGTAAAATGCCCAAATTTGGCTAATCTGATTTTTGCATCTGACATCTGATTTTTGTTTATAAGTTTTAGGAAAATCAGTGAAATAAAGATTGGCAACTCTTTGCAACTTTTGATATCCGAGCGCTTTTTTTGTGTAAGTACCTGTAATGAAGTTTCTAAGAAAAGCGATTGCGAGCCTGTTGCAGCAAATATGTTTTAACTTTCATTACCGTGTCTAAACCGGTTTTAAGAGTGCTGTCTATAAAAAAGGACTGACTTCAGTGAATTATGTCATATATTTTGCCCGAAATTATTATAAAATCTAAAGTATGTAAAGTCAGTAGATGTAACGAGGTTGACTGATTAGAAAGCATCTCCCTTGTGTTGTATGCAGCAATACCAAAACAAATATTAATTACATCTTAAAAGGTAAACACCAGTTTTAAAAATCTCACTAACCTTTTGTGCTGCTTAGTTTGTGAGATTCGGATATGTGCGCACTAGGTGGGATATAACTATTTTATTGCTATTGTCGCCTTCTTAGATAACGTTTTAGTAAATAATTATGTTTATTGTCTTTTTTGTGTATTCAGTGTATTGTATTAAGCAAAATTGTTATCCGGCCCGCGCACGTCATTCTTTCAGTTATCTGGCCCTCTGTGCAAACAGATTGTTGAGCCCTGCTATAGACAAAACGCTTTTCATTATACAGTGTAACCCGGATATAAGACCGGAGAAGAAGTCTCTTATATCCGGGTTTCTCTTATATCCGGGTCTCTTATATCCGGGTTACACTGTATCTTTCTTTTAATTAAATACTTTACAAATAAGCATTATAATCATTTTATTTTCATAATCTTGCGTTGACATTATCATCTGATCGAAATCGAAGTATTCTTAAACTTATATTCTTTTAATTTTTTTTTCTTATATTTTTGGGGGCAAATGAATTAGACTTTAATTTTATTTTATTTTAATCGTTTTTAACCTTTATCTTCCTGGTTTCAGTTTAAACTGACATTTTCTTTTTTCCATGTATCTAAAGTATAATTCTAAACTATAATTTTGGAAAGTGAAAATTTCACTGAAATATGTTGCAAAATTGCCAGTTTTTTTTTTTTAATCTGATATCAAGAAAAAATAAACTTTATTCAAAATAGTCATAATATACGGAATAAAGTAGGTGTCAGTTTAAACTGACACCAGAAGGATATGGCTTAAGCTTACACTAAGACTATTTAGCATATTGAACCTTTCTGGTAATTCATCCGATGTCTCTGACTAGATAAAAATGTCGTCAGCAAATCTTAGATGGGTCCATTTAAATATTCTCTGTTTATATTGACTCCCGACTTTTCCCAGTTTATTTTCCGGAAGATACTTTCAAAACGTTGTAATAAATATGGCGACAAAGATAAGGACAATAGTCCGAATAATGTAAATAATGTACTTAATACCTCATCTCAGAAATATAGACAGATACTTTCAAGGTCTGTTGTAAATAGTGTAGATAAAATCGTATCCTTTTGCTTGGCGTTGTTAAAAAATGTTCTTTTTATTTGTCTTGATGTAATCAAATCATTGTAATACAAACTGTTTTGAATGATTTCCATTTCACTTTCGTTACGATTGCAGGACAATGTCATAGTGTTATTACCGTGTGGTTTTCAAACACCCCACTTAAAATATTATAGATATATCACTTAGTTCTTAATTTCCTTGTTATATATTGTTCTAGGTGTTATTTCTCTTTTTTATAGGATAAATAAAAATTAAAAACTAGTATTTATTTTGAAAAATTGAATTAAAAGGCGAAAATTAAAAACTAATTTGCAAGTTTCTAAAATTAAAATATGCAAAAATAGGTTTCATTTTATTTTCAGTAAAAATAAAATTACTTGTAACTCACAGAAATATGACTAAAACCAGATATTCTTTGTAGTTACTTCACAGAGCTATTCAGAAAGCTACTTAACTAATCATGCTAATTTGACATGCCACTTGCTAAATATTAAAGTAAAACATTTTGTGGGATGTTCAAACATCCCACTATACTAATGGAAAGTTAATACCCTGTTTTGGTCTTGAGTCAACGACTGCCGAATATTCTACCATGTCAAATATCTTTTTGTCTTTAATGAAAAACTAAAAAAGTGGTTTGTTATATTCTTTTGTACGAGAGGGTGATGAAAAATTGAAATAATTTTGAAATATTATCATATTTTGGGTAGTCGGTCGAACCGAAAATATTTCACTAATAAACATGTGCACATTTATATTGGGTGTATCCCCTCCAAAAAAAAAACAAAAAAAACAGAATATAAATTTCAAATTTAATGTCATTTCTTTCATTAATTTTAATTATTCATTTTAATCAATAAAATATTCATAATAATGCACTTACGCCAACAATTTTTCAGCCTTTTGATTCCTGAACGTTACCGGATTATATTTTATACCGGACCTAAAGAGGTCACTCACTAACAATTCAATAATACACTTCCGGTCAAAAATTATGTATTTCTCGTATCTCTAATGAATTATCAGCTTATAAACTTATATAAAGCTATCAAACACAAACAACGCCACAGGCAATCGCTTGAAATCCAAATATTTAGTTTCATAATTTTATTCTGGTTATACCAGATGTCAGACTATCAGTTACCGGAATATCGGTGGTGTATATGTAATGGATGATATTACGGCACTATTTTTCCGATCGTAAAGACGATTTCTTTAAATTCTTTTTTTTTCCGACATAACTGCTGTTAATGTGTCTGGTCTCAACATTCAATTTTATTCCCATTGTCTGTTATCTCAGAAGCTACTGAATTGCCTGGAGCTTTTTGACGTAAAGACTTTAAGCAATTCTAAAGAAATTAGACGACAACCGTCAAATGAGGCTAGTATGGGGATTTTCTAAGCGTTGCCGAAAGTATGAAACATTCAGTGAGGATCGAACTCACTATTCATTCGTAATTGGCCTAGCGATACAAGTTTGCTAACCATTACACCACCTCGATGCGCCTCGATAATTTTCTAAGCGCAGCTTAGATGTGGCACAAGGCCGATAGTAAAGGAACACTCTGTAAGGATCGAACTCACTATTCGATAGAAGGCGGAAGTTTTTAGGAGTAATAATAGAAAGAGAAAACTTTTTAAGAGCTATGAAGGACTGGAAATTTTGGAGAGCCATAATCGCCAACCTCCCGAGAGGAGCTCAAAAAGAAGAAGAAGATGCTGAGCGCACCCTCGGTCACGAAGACTTGTGGCTTCGTGCTAGCATAACAAATTAACAGCTTCCAAACAGTTTCGATTATCCACTGTCACTCACAAGGATTAGGTGAACACTTGGTATCGTCTTCAGGCACTTCCCAACATTGCAGCGTACCGGGATCGTCTCCATAGACCGTTATTATAAAGAATTTACCTACTTGGTAAATTAAATAACTGAATTGTTCATTAAAAAGAATGGCCTAGGGAATTAAAGGGTGGTTGAGATTTGAACCCAGCACTTATAGTCGAAACGCGGCCACAGTTTGATAGATCTCCCCACACTCTCTCGGTATTTACCCAAGTCCTCCCCACAAGGGTGGATGTGCCACAAGGCCAGTTTCTTTAACGAGCCCATAGTCTCCGGAAAAAATTCCCCGCAGGCTCCATATAAACGGGGTTGGGTAGCTGTCTACCTCCCCAGACTTCTAGCATCGACTGGGTTCCTCTTCGCCCGAAGGCAGAGAGGTCGACAAGTTGCCTGACTCGTTCGAACTTTAATGAACTCCACACTCTCAAACACACGAACACTAGATACTAGGGTGTCTAGTTAATCCCTGTTGCAGACATCCACTCTGGCACATTTGTGTTTCTTCTATACTCACAGAGACAAACTGTAGTTTATATTTTTGCAGTTTTCTGTATTTGAGAGATATATAGTATCAGTTAATACTCAATCTAATTCACTTTTGTATCGCTTGTTCGTTCCTTTCAGGGGAGACAATTCAGGGTAACTACACTCAGATATTGAACATACAACTGCAGGGATATCACAACATTTTAACTATGTCATTTTAGAGCCTTAAATTTAATACCTATACTAAGTATACGCTATTTTTACCATCCATTTTTCTCTATTGACTTGTCTTTATTCTACAGGAGTTCATGACCATTGATTTTCTCTCTATATATTATCATCCATGCCTGAGTTCAATGTCAATAGCCTTTCGATGTTTCGTTACCATTACTTTCAGAGGCGGACGGTTTTTATCTTATATCCGTTATAACAACTGCATAAAATGCAATACAAGTAATTCTTGGCAATGTATTCTTTTGGTCGTAATACTTTGTTTAAGAAGAGACATCTTTGTAGGTTTGAACTGCTTTTGAATACCGTCCTGATTTTGTATGGCCCGCAGCTCCTTTTGAATCTTTTCTGTCCTCTTACACAAACTATGACAGATTTTTTTTTAATTGTTTTCTTTTGTCTCTGCTTGTGAAAGTTGATATGATACTTACAGGGTACTTGTTACCCTGACTAATAATTCTAATCTTCTCGTATGAGTATGTTTCTGCGTTGCTACCTATGAGTCGATTCCTTTTTTGACTAGGGTCACGGCCATATGTTGTAACACCGGTTCCCGTAAGATTACGGAAATTAAGCAACGTCGAGCCTGATTAGTACCTAGGTGGTTCATCGCTTAGGAATACCAGATGCTGTAAGCTTGGATGAGCTGGTGGTGCAATGTATAATAGCTCAGAATTGTTAATCGGGGAGGAGAGTTCCAATTCCTGTTGGGTTTGTTATATTCAATTACATTGGGAAAGGTATAAATCCACATCTTCCCCCCAGTTATGGGTTAATTAGTAAAACGTTGTTGTAATGGAATGTTCCAATCTCCCTATTGCCTATTGTGGACTGACTATATCAATAAATATATATAGTGTGCACAGGATATACCTGAGACTTGCTTCGGCAATTAGTTGGAGAGTCGTCTCCAGCTGTGCTGGTCGAACTCTCTGTCTTCGGGCAGAGAGGAACCCAGACGAGGCTATGCCGAAGGGCAGAGTCTCGTCTTGGGTGGTAGACAGCTACCCGGCCCCGTGTATAAGGGGTCTACGGGGAATTTTCGGCCCGAGCGTATAGGCTCGTTTTTGCCTCGCATTAAAAAACAGCCCTGTGCCACATCCTGCCTCGCGGGGAGCTAAGGTAAATAACCTTGCTTCGGGAATTACTAGCCTGCTAACCAATACCTTGTCTTTCAATAGTGTATTCTCTTTTACAATAAACCTCTCTTTCTTTCATCTACGCCTGTGTTGATGTTCCCTCACTCAAGTACCACCTGTGTCTGTCTGTAACCTCTTTAAGGATACAACAGACGTGTATCACTAGATCGTTATTATTTAAAAAACTACAATCTAAAAGTATTTTCTAGCTTTAAATAACCTTCAAAAAGGTTGATAAACCGTAGAAAATGAAACACCTAGTTATTTTTTTTTACTCTGGAGTGGGGCGTAGAAATTGTTCATTTCAGACCTACAGCGAATCTCTTATACTCATTTATACAGTTTATCGCTAAAGATGCTAGGAAAATAGTCGGTTTCTCATGCCACCCGCCATAAGCATCTGATATTTCTTATGCTGCATCCTTGCAAGTGGTCAGACTAAAAATGGAGTATTGCTGCCATATCTAGACTGGTGATGAGTTCAAAAGAGTTTATGTGGCCTTCTGGGAGGTTAATTAATTTAAACTCTACGGGCCCTTTTCCAAAAACAATTCGTCGCCACCCTATCGTGAATTTATCGCTATTTCCGTGGCAAATGTTCAAACTAGCTACATTGCTTAGAGCCACCAGTTCAGACCTTTACATCTGGGAACCGGCATGTCATGTACACAGAGTCGAAAAATCCCCATTTCCTTCGTATTCCATTGGTAAGAAAGAAGCTATACGCAAGCAGCTACTTCTCTAGAACCGTTAATTTGCGGAACAGACCCCCTAGAGGTTGCTTCCTCGAATATTTCGATCTTAATCTTTTCACGTCTAGGGTTAATGATTGTCTATCCTACTTATCCTCATAATCTGCATTTACTTCTTTCTCTTATTTTCCTACTACAAAACATTCAGTCACGCTCTATTTTACATAATTTCTATTGGATGCACATTTAGTAAAAAAATGGTATTGTTTAGTGAATATTAGTATATGGAATACGATGCAATGAATACATATTCTGTATAAATTATTTGTACCTCCTTTTGAACTGTATGGAAGGTTTTAATGAGTTCATGTAATGCAGAAGTATTTGCAGATCTTACTCGTAGGGCGAGAGAATGAATGTGACATCTAAGCAGGATATCAAAGCCATATCACCGGTTTTAGTTTTAGCCATTACCATTTATATGTTTACCATTGCCAGTGATAATGGCGATGCCACAGCTAATCTTTCTCCTTTCGGTATATGTGGGAAACTAATTGGAATATGATATTTGCACACAGGATATCAACATCTATTAGGATCCTTGTGTTCTCCCTTGGGAATGCATCAAATTCTAATTTGTCTCGAACAGGCTCATCCTTAAAATATATTCGTTACTCGCATGCTCCACCCGTGGTTTTCACAGTATCATTCTACAGAACCAGATTTCTGCTGCCGCATTTCCACTTTATCTGTTTGGTATGGCATTCACTGCCATATAGGAGGAATAGTTATTATATATCAGTTGAAAATTCTTTACTTTGTAATGAAATGTTCATGTTTCTTAATAGTTTGCTTAGATTTCTCTCTGAATTTCTAGGATGAGGTGTTATAATTATTTACACTATTTACATTCAGACTATTGTCCTCATCTTTGTTGTTGTTATCACCTGATTGCCTTCTGTCTTAATTTCTGGGATGAGGAGTTATCATTATTTACACTATTTACATTCAGACTATTGTCCCCATTTCTGTTGTTGTTATCTTAACGTTTCGGTCGTTGTGTCCTCCGGCCTTCCTTGATATACACCTGAGAAAGACCGGTCGAAGGGTTGCGATAACAACAACAAAGATGAGGACAACAGTCCGAGTATAGACAGTGTAAATAGTTTACTTATCGTTTGGAAGACATATTTTGCTATTCCAATGCGGGTTCTGAATTCGATGCCACATTTTCCATCCTGGATCCGAGAAGATTAGGCGAAGCTAATGAGCAAGGAGGACTTGCTTGCTTAGAAAATCAGCATTTGAATTTTTTTTTTGTCTGCACTCTAATATCAACTACTGGCATCTTGGGGGAAAAATAAGCAACTCTCTCTCTATTGCAAGACAGGCCACTTGGTATGAATATCAACCAATCCTGTTTGTAAGCAAATTACTGTCTTTCGTGCAACACGTGCTACTCCATTATGGAATGTAACAATGGATATTTCTGTCGGAGATTTGTGTTTACGAAGCTGCAATTGATATCGGTGAGATTTTTGGCACCCCTCCACCCTGCACGCACGAATGAGGGTCTGCAAGATTATTACGCGCTTATTATCTATATTCAGCTCTCGGCAACGCGTGGGTAAATTCAAGGACGCTTTGATATGTATGTGTGTGTGTGTGTGTGTGTGTGTGTGTGTGTGTGTGTGTGTGTGTGTGTGTGTGTATGTGTGCTTAAAGAGTAATCTTTTCTCTCAATGACTAGTCTTTATGGCGAGTGGGAACGCTAGAATAATTACAACCGCCAGGAAAGAAGATGTTATATTAACTAGACATCTATTTCTGGTTCTTTCAAATTGTCTTGCATGTAGGTCTTTCTTTCCGTGTTGCAGTGCAATTGTTCGCGTACTGGTCTCGAAGACAATACAAATGGGTTCGTTCTTCATTGAACGCTTCTTCGGTGTGATGTACGAAAGTGGGTTAATTATTTGTGCGTGTGTGTGGAGAGGGTCTATCAAACTATGGCGGTGTTCTTAGAACATCAATGTTTCGACTATAAGTGCCGGGTTCAAATCTCAGCCATACTCCAGTTATCCACGTTATAATCCAATAGGCCATTTTTCTATTGGACAATTCAGTGATTTAATTTGCCAAGTAGGTAACTTCTTTATAATAACGGTCTATGGAGACGATCCCGGTGCGTTGCAGTGTTAGGGAGTGCCTGAAGACGATACTAAGTGTTGACCTAATCCTTGTGAGTGAAAGTGTGTAGGAGAAGCTGTTTGGAAGTTTTTAATTTGTTATGCTAGCACGAAGTTACAAGTCTTCGTGATCAAGGGTCCGATTTTACTGACCTTGTTCAAACGCTGATTACACAAGATTAGGCGTTCTCTCCCAGAAATTGTAACTAAGGTTACAGATGTGCTCAGAATCTTCTTGTTTATGTGCCTTGACTCCTCAGATCGTTGGCGATTATGGCTCTCCACAATTTCCTATCCTTCGCAGCTCTTAATAAATTTTGTCTTTCTGTTATTTCTCCTAAAAACCGTTTCGTCATCCATTTACTCAAGCTCACTAAGTATGTTATGCATTGTTTTCCTCTGTCTCTCTTGCATTCAATATCTCCTGTGAGTGTCATATTTTCCAAGCCTTCTTTCCTCATTACCTCTCCTAGAAATCTCATCTGTCTCTATCTGATGTTAAGTATAAGTTTACTTTTTGTTTCCATTTTCTCTGAAAACTCCTCGTTGCTCACATAATCGGCCCAATGTAGACTCAGCATCCATAGTTGCAGCATAAACCATTTTTGAGTCTGTGGGTGTTGAAGAAATAAAATAAAAATGCGACTGAGCAGAGAGGTATGCTCGGAAAGGAGTAACCGCACTGAAGATGAGAAAAATCACGCGGATTTGCAGTGGACCTTCAAGTCGAAACGGCTCTTACGATGAAACCGAATACAACGGAGAATATTTCGAATAATTAATGATAATTTCTGATCTAAAATCCAAACACAACTTATAAGCTACCCCTACCCCCATACAAAAAGAGTAATTTGAGAAGAATTGCGTCAAATAATCATATTACACTTATTTCGGGCATTTCGACGTTGTGTAATCGTTAACAAGCTTCTCTCGCTAGGCTAATTACGACTGAATAGTGAGTTTGATCCTCACTGGGTGTCTCTTTACTTTCGGCTTTGTGCCACATCTAGGCTGCGTTTCGAAAATTATCGAGGTGCATCGAGGTGGTTTAATGGTTAGCAAACTTGTATCGCTAGGCCAATTACGACTGAATAGTGGGTTTGGTCCTCACTGGGTGTCCCTTTACTTTCGGCCTTGTGCCACGTCTAAGCCACGCTTAGAAAATCATTTTCTCTGAAACCTCGTCGTTGCTTATATAGTCGGTCCAATGTAGCCTCAGCATCCATAGTTGCAGCATAAACCACGAGTTGGTTATGTGGTTGTTGAAGAAACAAAAATGCGACTGAACAGAGACGCATATCCGGAAAGGAGCAGCTATACTGAAGATCAGAAATCAAACGGATTTGCAGTGGGTGTGACTGAGCATGCGTCTAGAACGGGGATTAACTAGTAACGTTAGTAGATTACATAGTCTCGCAAGACTGGCGGATACTTAATTCTTTGAACCCTGACGACCGCTTTACCGGTGGTATGGAAAAATAACATATTGCCCAGCCACCGGTTGAACAGTGGTAGAGAAAAATGACTTAATCCCCACCGCTCGAACACTTATAACTATTTTTATATCTACCGTTAAACATTACATACCAATTATTTGCGAATTTTGATTCAGGAGCTCAGGCAGAAGGGTTAAATTGTTCAGGAACGCAGGGCACAAAGGGTTAATAGATACCTATCAAATAATTTTGCGATTGTTTATCAGTGGACATCTTTCACAGGTAAGCGAAATGTTTTCATGAGACACAGAATATAAAATTCGAACTCCTGTGTTCCATAATACTGACCTTGTACCAGACTAAGTTGGATTTACTATATCAAACTTTTAACTTCTATTTCTCTGCTTAACACAATATTCAAGGTTATATTCCTTCTCTATGTTATTTTGTTTCGACATCCAAAGACGTCTTCATCAGGCGAGTAACAATGGTGTTAACCGCCTGACAAAGACCTCTTTGGACGTCGAAAGAAATATGTATTTTTGTCGCGGTAACTTGCATGTTTCAATGTAACAGTTTATAATAAATACTTATTGGTTTACTTCTTGTATTGAACCATTTTTTAAATTAATATTATTAACGTTTGAATTTATATTCTTTTCGTTCTTTTACATTTTTTTTTTGTATATATATATACATATATATATATATATATATATATATATATATGTGTGTGTGAAAAATATAGTTCTAAGCTGTGCTATATTTATGGGATAAAGTGCTCAATATAAGAGATAGAGCGTATGTAAATATAAAAGAGAACATTGAAGTCAACATTCAGAGTCAACAGGCGGTTTCATGCTAGACACAATAGTCAGGCCGCGATATATATATATATATATATATATATATATATATATATATATATATATATATATATACTCGACTCTTCCGTCGAATTCGACGTATGAGGGTCAAGCAGATCAGTTCCTAGGAAACCGACAGCCCAATAACAGCACATGAAATTTGATTATAGTGGTGAAGGTTTCGTGCAAGACCATCCACACTTTTTGAAGGGCCGAATGCAGAGACCTGGTGCACTAAGTGCCACAAGGTTCCCAAACGACCCTCACAGGTTTTGAATTCAGAGTTGTCCTTCTCCTAGATCAGTTGCCATCCAAGGATATTTACCCATAGCTGGAGGGAGAAGAAGAGGATTCACACCTTTCCCAAGGGTATTTAGCACGTAAGTGAATGTAATCGATTCGACTGGAATTCGAACCTCGATTCCTCCAATTCCTCAATATATATATATATATATATATATATATATATATATATATATATATATATATATATATATATATAATTTTATTTAGTGTGGATACTCATATTTGAGCAGATGTTCCATTTATTCATTAAGCAGTATATTTATTTATTTCCGTCTATTAGCTGGAATTATTAATATTAAAGAAAAGAGGCTCTCTCCGGTAGGATTTGAACCTGCATTCTCCTTAGCAAGAAAAACGGCCGGGCGAGCGCTGCCGAATAGTGCCTTTAGCATCTCCAAAGACTCTCGGTATATTCATATCTACTCAGTTTCGTATCCTAACGTAAACAAAACAATTTCTAAAGAAGTAATGGATTTTTAATTCTTTTCCTGCTAAGAATGAGGCAGTTTCGAATCCCGTCGAGGGCGCATCTTTTCTTTAATAATTTTTCTGGAATATTTCGACCGGTAGACGAAAATAAATAAATATACTCTTTTATAATAAACGGAGAGTCTACTCAAATATGGGTAACCACTAAAAATAACATTTAACGTTTATATATATATATATGTGTGTGTGTGTGTATATGTATATATATATATATATATATATATATATATATATATATGTGTGTGTGTGTGTGTGTGTGTGTGTGTGTTAAGACAGGTTTCATTAAATAATTTAGACATGTTCTGTCTACTTATACTCGATAGGATCCTTTCATATTCTCGGGTAAGCTTTTTTGTATTGTTATTGAAAGACGAGGCGAAAACGCCTTGCTGCTTTATATTGTATTTAGTCTCTGAGTACTTTCGACATAGCATCATGTCATTATTAGGGTATTATGCTATGTCGAAAGTACTCGGAGAATAAATACAATATACCTAAATGGGATTCGACGTTTTGAATATGAAAGTGTTGTAAAGGCTTGTTATTTCGAAGAGCCGAGTTCCAATTTCAGTTGAGTTCATAATACTCATTTATACGCAAATACCCTCAAGAAATGTATGAATGCACATCTTCTGGGCTAATTAGTATAACTTGTATCAGTAAATCATTATTATCTGCAAATAATTCTTATAATATAAACATATATTCTGACTTTTAATAACCTGCAAGTTGTTGATAAACAGTAAAAAAACAAAAACAAAGCAATCACTATAGGTCTCTTCAAAATTGATGATGATACCAAGATGAATACAAATAATTATTCTGAGCTCTTGGGCAAGAATATTTTTGAGTGTTTTAGGTCACAACCAAGAATTTTTCAGTTAAGAAGTATATTTTTGCAAGGGAATGCCGCCTCACATTCTGTACAGATGACTGGCTAAAGACGTAAAATCGAACAACCACCTTTAAGCAAACATCACAAAAAAATAAATATCTAAGTTCAGTGAAGACGTACTTGCCAACTGATTTCTCAACAGTAATTTTTACCAGTGAATGCCAATGGTTGGATCTATGCTGGAAAGACAAGATGACTAGTTTGGGTTCTTTATGGAAATAGTTAACCATTACTTCGTAAAGAATTTTTAGGCATTAAAATTATAGATCTCTTCAGGTTTACAGCCATATCACGTTAAAACACCGATTCTCGTATGATCGCCGAAGTTAAGCAAAGTTGAGCCTGGTTAGTAGCTAGATGGGTGACCGCTAGACCCTGTAATCTTGGATGTGCGGTTGGTGTAATGGATAACGCCTCAAAATTGGAAATCATTGAGCCAGTCAAGTTCATCATATTCCCTTACGCGTAAATACCCTTGGGAAAGGTATGAATGATCTCCTTCTCCACATACAGCTATTAGTCAATTAGTAAGACTTGTATCAATAAACCATTATTATCTCCAAAAATAATCTTACAATCTAAAAAAAATATTATCTGGATTTAAATAACTTGCAGAGAATTGATAAACCGTAGAAAACAAATGAATCCATCAATAAAAAAAATCTTTGTCTTGCAAAAAGAGAAAATCTTTCTGTTGCTTCTTTTGTCATTTTTCTTTCACTGCCATCTTGAATCAGCATAGCAAGTTAGATTAGCATTCGGCATTAACTTTTTGACCTTGAAAAACCGTGCTCATGATTTTTCCTGTTCACCTTTGCGTCATGATTTTTTGTGTTCCTCGTGAATGTGTGTGACGCCACTAGATAGACTAAGGTTCGATCACCGGATGATTGTTGTGCGACTCTGTTTCAGCAATAGCATCAAGTTGTTTCCAAAAAAAATCAACGCTAGAGTGCTGAAAAATGTTGTATAATAATCTTCGAGTTGATCGCTGTTATAACTAATTTAGTATAAGAGAAAAGAAAATGGAACATAGAATAGGCTGCTCCAGAGGTAATTTTGCCCAACACCGCAAATTGGTACCAAACCAAAACATCAACCTGAAAACTCGAGTCATGTTTATAAATAGCCTCGACAGATCGAGACTTTCATATCGATATCATGCAGGGTGATAAACTCGTCCAGAAATATCTAAACTGCCAGCTGTATACAACCGCTTTCTAAGATCAATGGTTTTGAGCGAGTAAAATGGCGGAGGTGGGGTCTTGGCAAAGGCCATTCTTCTTCAAATTGTGAACTGGCGCTAAATAATCAAAAAGAAAGGACTGTACCAAATAACAGAAACCACACCGATTGAGGACTCACCAACAGCAGCAACAATTAAAATGGATACCACATGTAGCTGGAAGAGAAAATAATGACATAATCATAATGTTGACATTCTACATTAGTTCAAAGAAAAGGTAATAAAGCCCCCATCAATACTGGAAAGAGCTATAACAGTTACTGGACTTGGGAAAGCTATTTTGTTAAAATCGTTTTAAGAGAAATATTTTATAAATTTTAAAAGACAGCAGTACTGGCTGCTCGATCAAGGAATGCCAAATGTTTCCTTATTGGGAAACAACTAATATTACCATTAGATTACCAATTACTCGTATTTCTGGTTTACATTCAAACATTTCTGCATCCACAACTCTTGAATTATAAGCTCAAAATGTTCCTTTTATATCCCTAATATCTCAGAAAAATAAGGTCATGAACATGATCAACAGTTTTAGAAATGACACCGTTGAAGGTTTTCCCTGTTGTATTTTGTGTCTTAAAAATTCCATGTGAGAAGATGGAATACGATTTCTTTGCAGTTGAGCATGATGGACACTTGTCACCCAATGTTTGCATCGTACGTACATGGATTTTCTTTTCGAGTTATCTTCTGCAGGAATAAGAACTTCATGACAGTCCAGAGGTCAACATTTGAAAATTCCAGTTTTTCGATTGACATGGTTCAGTCAATGCTCTGAAAGAAATTCAAAATTAAGGGCAGGGTGTTCTGTAAATTGACAATACAAAAAAATACCGTTTACAGCTACTGCGACATATAAATAAAATAATAATAATAATAATAATAAAAACTTCGAATTTGATTTTTGATGACGCTAATCCATCGGCGAAACATCGGCGTAGAAATGTTCCAGCTTCTCGTTTTACAACTTTTATTTACTTTTTGTTTACTTTTATATTTACATACGTTTTATTACCCATAAATATAGCATACCTTAAAACTATATTTTTTATCATATATATATATATATATATATATATATATATATATATATATATATATAAAGAAAATGGTTTTAAGGTGTGCTATATTTATGGGATAAAGTGCTCAATATCAGGGATAGAGCGTATATAAATATGTATATAAAAGTGAACATTGAAGTCAACACTCTCAGAGGCGACAGGCTGTTTCATGCTAGACGCAGTCGTCAGGCGGCCTGACTGTTGCATCTAGCCTGAAACAGCCTGTCGAGTGTTGACTTCAATGTTCACTTTTATATATATATATATATATATATATATATATATATATATATATATATATATATATATATATATATATATATGTGTGTGTCTCTATATATATTTTAAATTTTTTTTAAAATGCCGGACGATACCAAGTGGTAGGAACTATGGTAGCGTGATTGGCTGATCTCCCAATATTTTTTTTGTTTTAAGTTAAAAGCTCTGCATGTTAAATGTTTATTTTCTTTATACGTGGATTGAACACTGTTTCCTGATCAAATTCAAACTATTTTATATATATATATATATATATATATATATATATATATATATATATATATATGTATATGTTTGTGTGTGTGTGTAAAAGAGGAAACTTTTGGTCAACATTGAGTGACGACAGTCTGTTGCATGCTTGACTGCATTCTTCGGATCAGTAAAAGCAATTAATACACATCATGTTAATTCGAAGATGGCCTGAAGTTTGCTTCCACACATACACACACGCACACACACACACACACACACACACACACACATATATATATATAATTATGTACGTATATTTATATGTCCATTTATCTCTTATTACTGTAAATGTTATATTTAGTGGGATTCTAGAAGATATACTCTTTTCTTTAATATGATCTTTGATTTCTAGCCCGGTAGACATTCATTTTACTGTTAAAAAATAACGTATGTCTACACATTCATATAAATATATTTTTTATTTCTTCAAATGTTATTTTTTAATCGATAGCCGTAGTTGAGTAGACGCTCCGTTTTTTTTTATTATTATTTTAATCAATATTTATTTCATCTACCGGTCTGTACCCTCGAACAAACCTATTAAAATGAATTTGCCCCCCAGCAGGATTCGAACTTGCACCACCTTTAGCAGGAGAAACAACCGTCTGAGCCGGTGTGCTTTAACAGCTCGTCCACGAATAGCTTTTTACTCAAGCAAGGTTCTATTTGCCTTAAAGCCCACCCTATCGTTTAGATTTCATCGAAAGACATATCTGCTCAGTTTCGTATCCGTAACGTAAACAAAGCAATTTTTAAACAACTAATGGATTTTAGTTTTTGATTCGAGATATTTTTTATTATTTCAAACATCATTTTGAATGGCTACCCGTATTTGAGTAGATGATCCGTTTTGTTATTATTTTAAAAAATGTTTATGTCGTCTAGCGGTCTGCACACTCGAGAAAACTTACTAAACAGAGTGTGCACTTTGGTAGGATTCGAATGTGATGAATTGGATGTGCGTGTGTAATGGATAATCACTCTGAATTGTTAATCGGAGAGCCGTGTTCAAATTCCAGTTGGGTTCATTATATTCACTTTACACGCAAAAGTGTATGAATCCATCACTTCTCCCTCCAGATATGGGTTAATTAGTAAGACTTATATCACTAAATCATTATTGTCTCTAAAAGAAGAAAAAAACTCATACTACCCGATCACTTAGACTATCAAGTTCCTTTTACGAACTTTTAGTTTACCTAAGGCAAATTATTGTCATATCCGCAGGTTCTAGAATACACTGACTACATCTCTGTAGAAGGGTATGACTCAAGATAAAAAGGGTCACTTTTCAGGTGAATATTTGCAGGTAGGGGTATAAAACTTCTGTCTACCTTTTTGTTCAAGTGTAAACCGGAAATATATCTAAATTTGTTTGTATTCAAGCGTAAACCGGGCCTATGTCTATGTTTTTGACACTAGTACAAACCGGATCTGCGTCTACTGTTTTGCCTCTAGTCTAAATTCGACATATATCTACTCTTTTGACTCTAGTGTAAACTGGATCAATATCTACCCTTTTGTCTCTCGTCTAAACTGGACCATTATCTATCTTTTCTACTATATTCTAAGCCGAACCAATAGCTACCGCTTTGACTCTTGTGTAAAGCGAACCTTTGTCTACTCTTGTATTAATTAATTGTAATTTTTCCATAAAAGATTAAATACCTTTTTGATCACGGATAAATATCTCATATATATATCTATATTGTTATTCAGGCGATCCTGTATTTCTCTTTTTGATTCTAGTCTAAACCAGCTATTTCTATAATTACATTTTCGACTCTTGTGTAAGCTGAATGTATGTCTATCTTTGAATTAATTCATTGTAGTTTTATTTCTTATAAGAGTTTAAATAATGCAGCAAGGGTTAATTCGTGAAATTAAAATATTACCTCCACACCACCAGCAGAGTATCAATTGAACATATTTAAACTAGACAAGGGCACCGCGAGGAGGTATAGTGGTTAGCAAGCTTATCTTGCTAGATCAATTACGACTGACTAGTGAGTTCGATCCTCACTGGATGCTTCACAAGTTCGGCCTTGTGCCACATCTAAGCTACGCTTGGAAAATCACTGGGCACCTCGATGTGGTGCAATGGTTAGAAAGCTTCTCTTACTAGATCACTTACGACTGAGTAGTGAGCTCGATCCTCAGTGGGTACCCCATGCTTTTGCCCTTGTGCCACATCTAAACCGCACTTAGAAAAGCACTATTTAAACTTGATAATTTTTATTCGAAAAATATGAATATTTAAAGCCCTTAACCCTCACCGAGCCATTTTTGGAATTTTGGACTTTAATGAGTTTTGTAGGTAGAACACTAAAATTTTATACCGGATTTTTATAAACCTATATTGATGATGAAAAACAAACTTATCAATAACGATTTTTCTTTAAAAAAAAAACTATATGTAATACTGGATTTTAATTTTAATTTTATAATTAGTACCAGATTTTACGGTGGACATTAATGTAACATGATATTTTAAATCTGGTGACCGCTTGATAATACCAGGTACTGTAAGGT